TATGTGCTAACCCCTCCCTCCTGAGTCAAGCATAAGGTTTTCAAAAGAGCGAGCCCAGCTTCATGTGCATAGAATTCTCTGTGATTTGCTCCCTGGCACTTCTCAATAAAGTTACAAGGAAGTTAGGTTCGGGGCTTCAGTCTTTGAGTTGTTCGCTCTCTGACTTTATGCTCTTTGTTCTTTCTCTCCATTCTTGGTGTCCCCGTCTCTCTCTTTGTCCATGGCCAATAGCAAAGGTACATCTGATTCAGGCCATGGTCTTATTGATCACTTGCTATGCACCTGAGAGCTGGACAATGACTGAGGATGACAGAAGACAGCACCGAACAACAACATGCATCTGAAAGTTGAATGATGAGTTGGACAACAAAAACAGTGAGTAATGCCTGACAGTTGGATGAAAGAAGAATTATTGACACCTTTGAGTTGTGAAGAGAAGAGTGCTGAACGCATGGACTACCAAAAGAACTAGGAGATGAGTCTTGGATTAAGTGCAGTCAAGGTGCTCCTTAGAAGCATGGACGATGAAATTTCATCTCATGTACGTTGGGCATGTTGTTGGAGGGGGCCAGTCCTTGGGGGAAAAATAAATAATTAAAAGGGAAAAGGGTGGAGGGTCAGTAGAAGAGAGGAAGACCCTCAACACAGTGCTTGAAGCGATGGGCTCCGGTATGTCCCAGATGGTGCAGGATAGGACAGAGTTTAGATCCATTGTTTTATAGTTGACTCAGTGGCACCTAACAATGACTAATGAAAACGCATAAGGAAGACCAAAAAATAATTGATGCCTTTGAATTGTGATGTTGGCAAAGGGTCTTGAATATGCCATATACTGTCCAAAGAACAGGCAGATCTGTGTTGGAAGGAGGGAACCAGGGCACTTGGAGAAGTACAGGTTGTGAGACTTCATCTTGCAAATATGTGGCTTTCTGTAAGGGGGTCCCTAGAACATCATGCTGGGGAAGTTGGAAATTTGGCAAAAGCGATGAAGACCCTCATTGAGAGAGATTCACACAGTGACTGCAGCACTGGGCTTGCACAGAACTGGGCCAGGTTTGACATAAGGTAGATTGGCATCTCAGTCTGCTCAGGGACACCTCACCATACCAACAGGAACTGACATCAGGGACTTATTTTCATTGGTCACTTGTGTATCTTTGAAAAAATGTCTCTTCAAGCCTTTTGCCCATTTAAATTGGATTTTGGACTATTTTGCTGTTGGGTTTGGTAACTGGAGAGGGTTTTACTAGTAAGTATGTGCACTGCTTGTTTCCCTTTAGAGGGTGTTGGAGTTTACTCTTTTCAAGTTTTGTTTTCAACATAGGACAGTTCCTCGATAGATTCACTTAGTCCACAGCCATGGTGCACTCAGTCTCTTTCTGTAGTCCTTTGCTTGGTGGGACAGCAGCTGCGGAGGCTGTCCCCAAAGATTGGACCTCAGAGCATTTGATGCCCTGTCAGGGCTGAGATGAGTGAGATTTCCCGGATAACTGTGGTTTGACCCTTTCTTGTCTGGCCCTGGGCTGTGGCAGTGATTGGCCACTATACTATGTGAGTCAGGTGACCACAGACCATGTAGATGAAGTGGCTGTAGTTGACCACGGGGAGCTGTCATGGCCGGTCCTTAGGGAATGGTGCTCCTCACCTAGAGGTGATGCCTTTCTGCCGGTTCAGATCCACCTGTGGGGAAAAGGTGAGCGTTCTCATCCCATGTGATTTACAGCCTCCAAAACCCACAGGAGGTGAGCTATAAGTCGGTCAGCCCCATGACAATGAGAATGGTAGTCCGTTCTGCAAGCAGAATGTGGTCAACAGAGAAGGCGCACGGTCACTTCTCAGCCTTGATGTTGAGAAGGAGTTGGTGTCTATATGCAGCCAATCCAAAAGAGATCATTCAGACAGGAAGCAAGACACAGCAGAAAAGAGGAGAGAGAAGAAGCTGGGAGAAGGACTGCAGAGCACATCTTAAAAGAGCTATGTTTGGTCAGGACTGTGACCCTGAGGACAGAGGCCAGCCTGGCAGGAGCCCTGTGGCAGGACCACCAGCAGCAGACAGCTGGACCGGATAAGCCTGTCCTTGAGACAAGGGAGGCCTGAGTGGCTGAGAGGAGCCATGGGCCTGTGCTCGAGAAAGCCACTGTGTACCTGCTTCCTGAGCCTGCAGATGCCGCCTTGAGGAACCCTTACCTGTGGGGGTTGGTTGTCAGTGAGTTCTATGTGACCACTGCAGTGGACCAGGGGACCCAGAAGAGAAGTAGGAGATACTGGAGGGGGCAGTGAGAGGAGGCTGGTGTCCACATGGTTCAAACTTTGGAGGGCAGAGGCATGGCTGGCCCTGAGCTCATGGGAGTCTGCCTTGTGATGACCGTCATTTCCACGGTTAGCCCAGGCCTGGTCTGTTACTGGCATCTTCATCTGGCTTTACAGTACCCTGTGTTCCGTGGTCATGTGACCTGGGCTTTCTTGGCTGCACTGTTAGTGGGAGAGGATTCCTTTTATTCCGCGAGGCTGTGGGTGAGTTTGGACTCTAAAAGTTTTAATCACATCACTAATGTGACCTAGCTGGGGTCTCTCTCAAATGCTCTCAATTGTGCCTTAGTGACCCTCTGCCTAGATGACCCTCAGGAGTTCAGTGGGCTGCCCCCTGCTCCTAGGGGGACCTGGGGACCCAGTCCTCATTTAAGGGTCCCACGCTGCCTGTGGTGCTCACTGCACGAGGGCCAGGCCACCACCACGCCCTCTAGTGTGACCATGGCTCACTCCTCTCTTCCTCTGTCACTAGCTTACTCCCCACTTCTTCAGCTTTATTGGGGCACAATCAGAATAGAGGGACTGTGCAGTTACCATGTGGTCCGGCAAAGCCATTACCTTAAAAATTCTAAGGATCTGGGTCGGGGTGGGCAGGGAGAAAAGTGAATGACTAGAAACAATGAATGGCAACAATGAATGACTGGAAACCCTAAGTCTCTAAACTTTCACTTAAATTAATAAAAAAAAAAGTTAAAAAAAGTTCTAGGGATTGAGTATTCTGAAGCCACAGTTCACCCTCTGCCGCACGAGAGGACAATTTGAGAGACTTTAGGTCGTGCAAGGTCTTGAAAACCACCTTCGGGCCCATCCAGCCCCCACTGAAGACATGGCAGCCCCCTGTTGCTGTGGAAAGGACCTTCTGGGGTGCTGATGTCTGGGCTCCAAGCAGGGGTGCTTCGGGGACTTGTCTTTGTGGTGTCTCTTTCTTCAAAATCAGGAAAGAGTGAAAAGGGACTGTCACCAAATGTCAAGAAGCAAAGTCCATGAGAAATGCAGATGACAGTGGAGCCGTCTGACAGTATCAACCACAAGAACCTCCAGCACCATGACTACACTGTATACACATTCTTTGATTTTAACCTGGACCTCTTAAAATTCCGAATGCCTCAGGACGAGCGTCCCCACAACACTGAGAATGCCGAGGATGCCACTTGCATTGTCTTTGCTGCTTTCTTGCTGCAAAAATAAAATCTACGTAACAGTAAAAAACACACACACACACAAAAATCCCACCTTCAAGTACAGGGACTTGATCTCCCATGTGGGTAGTAGAAGGAATAGCCGCACCCTAACAGCGAGAAATCACAAACAGGAGTGTTTCTTTGGAGGAAAGCCAACGAAGAACGTGTGGGGGTTGGCATGTAGCTAGAGAAGCAGGAACTTTGTAGAACCACTCGCTCAACTCGCCTGTACGATTCTCACTGAAAAAGACACGCTCTGCCAGAGCCTTGTAGCCTGGGGGCCAGTCCTCGAAGCTGCTTGGGGTGCTGTCATGGCCTGAGCTGTGTGACCTCCCCAGCACGTGTTGTGGATCTCATACCCGGGACTTGCGGCTGAAATTGGATTCTAGTAGTGTTGTGTTTAAAGCATTTAGCTGCTACCAAAAAAGCAGACATTTTGGACCCATGAACTACACTGGGGACAGAGCCAGGCAGCTGGCTCCGGGAGTCACAGCCTGGAAAGCGGGGCTCTGCCCCCCAGGGTGGCAGGCTTCCTAATGGCTGTGGCCTGTGGCCATGGTCACAGGGAATAGATTTGTCCTGCGGGGGAGGTATGGGGGGGGAGGGGGATTGGGGCGGGGCCAGCACCAGTGAGGTTGCCAAGGAGATGTGGAGACATGGAAAAAGAGCCTCCCAGAGTTGGGCCCGAACTTCCTTAAGGCTTCTGAAGCCTCCTATATGGGGAGAAAGAAAAATTTGGGTTTTGGGGAATTTTTTGTTATTTGGAAATTTTGGATTTTGTATTTCTGACAGTATCACCAGTCAACAGACCATTTCTCCTGAGTCTTGGAGTAAATCTCTTGCCCTGCTCCCCAGGAAGCAGGCTCTGGGAGGAAGGCCTGGCAGAGGAAGGTCAGAAGGCAGCACCTGACCGGGCAGCGAGGAAGCCAGCGGGTCCCCCTGAGAGCACGGACGGCCTCAGAAGCCCTGGGAGCCATCTGAGTGGGACTCCAGGGCTGTGGGCATGTTAAGCTTGTCTCCAGCCTCCCGGGCTCCTCACTGAGGGGTCTCACGCCTGGGCCACCCCCTCCAGGGGGCTGGCTTCACATCTAATGGCTCTGAAACGTCTTGTACCAGTTGTGTCCCAACGAGACCTGGCCCTCGGGTCTGCTCCCTTGTTGGGGAGAGTTAGTCACACATAAAACTGCTCTTCCTGGCGTTTGTTTTCACGTCTCTTGTGCACAAGAAGCTCTGGAATCGCTGTACGTAAGGGTGCAGGGAACGGAACGACGGGGCGGGTCTCGAAATGCGAAGGGTAGGCTGAGGGCACCGCAGCCAGGAGGCAGCAAAGGCCCATCCTAGGGTCAGCACTAAGGGGCGGGCCAGGCCAGTGGGGTTACCAGCCAGACTGGGCGGAGCCTGCACCGGGGCCACCCCACAGAGCAGGGCCCTCGGTTCCTAAGGCAACTGGACACTGTAGAAGCTGCATGCTGAAGCCCAGGGCCCAACGGGTGAGAGTGAGCCGTGGGCATGTGCGCAGCGGAGGTGGACCAGCATGTGGCACAGAGATTCCTGCTCCGGCAGCGGCTTGGCCAGGGGGTGAGCGCGGGGATAGGGCGCATCTGCGCGGGGCTTGCCTGCCTTGGGGCCCCAACCAGCCTCCGGCACTAACGCGGCCGCGCCCCCAGCTGCGCAGCCACCAACCCCCAGGGACCCTCAGGGCCTGGCGTCAGATGACAGTGGGAGGCTCCAGGGGTCCCCGTGCCGCCCCAACACTTTCACCTCTCTCTGTCCCCATGCGACACCTCGTGAGGCCAGGCCCACGCGCTTGAGTCTGTAGAGGGTGGGTGGTCTCAGTGTCAGGCCCAGGGCCCAGAAAGTGGGGAGATGAGAATCTGGAATGTATGAGGCTGACTCTGAGGGGTAGAGACCAGACCAGCATTCAAGCTACACCCACAGCAAGTGCAGAGGCCTGGAGGTGAGAGCCTGGGCATGCAGGACAGGACTTAATGATGGAGTGACCAGTCCACCATGGGGGACTCCAGCTTCTACTCAAGTGGCACTCAATACCACAACTTGAGAACACCCCCAACCAGGCCCGTAGCGTTTCACACACTGTGCAGGTGCCCTGGCTAGGGGAGCTTCGAGCCTCCTGAGTAACTTCTGCAGGGCCTTCTGGGCTGGGTGAGATTGACAGGCCAGCCCCCCACCTCCCATGGTATCTATAGTTTCCCTCAGACCCCTCATGCAGCCTTCCCAGAGCAGTCCCAAAGCTCAGCCCTCAGAAGGTCCCTAAGTCCAGGCAGCAGCCTGCACTTGTGGGTGGGTCCTCACCCCACTGTAAGTTCTCCCCCTCCTGGGACCCTTGTACGGGGAAGGACAGAATCTTCAGCCATTTTGGGGCCATCTGAGTGGGCGGGAGATACCAGACAGGAGAGTGACCCTGGCCCTCCCTCCCCGCCAAGGCCTATGGCATCGTGTGGAAGGCAGTGGACCGCAGAACTGGTGAGGTTGTGGCCATCAAGAAAATCTTTGATGCCTTCAAAGATAAAACTGATGCCCAGGTGAGTCATGGGAAGGAGTTGGGGGGATGACCCTACTACCAGAAGGCTCCAGGCAGATGTGAGACGCCTCCTGAGCTTCTCAGGACACCCCCCTTCTGTCCAGCCCACACCCAGGTCTCTCTCTCATTCCAGAGGACCTTCTGGGAAGTCACTCTACTCCAGGTGTGTGGCAGGGCCAGCCTGTCGTTCACATCCCTTCTCAGGTGCAGGTTCTCTGGGGGGGGGGGCCTGGGCCCCTCTGCATGAGAACACAGCCTGCACCCTCCAGCGACCCATGGCTCTCTCCACAGAAGTTTGGGGACCATCCCAACATCATCCGTCTCCTTGACATCATTCGAGCAGAGAATGACAGGGACCTCTACCTGGTGTTTGAGTCTATGGGTGCGAGCACTTAAGTAGGGAGCCTAGCTCCGGTCATCTCTGTCCTGACCCCAAAGTCCTCCCACGTGTCCTGGGGACTCCATCTGCCACTAGGTCTCCACAGTGGCCACCTCTTGACCTGGGGCAGTGTCCTTACACCCCTGGCTGCTCTCCTCCCGAACCCCAGACAGACTTGCACACACCCCCCCCCAGACACTGACCTGAACGCCGTCCTCCGTAAGGGCAAGCTGCTAAAGGACATTCACAAACGCTACATCTTCTACCAGCTCCTGCAGGCCACCAAGTTCATCCACTCGGGGAACGTGGTCCACCGGGACCAGAAGGTGGGTCCAGTGCTCGCTGCCCTATGTCCCTCCCAGCGCCCACCCCACGTGCACCCACTGAACCTCAGTCACATCCTCTCCCAGCCAGCTAATGTCCTCCTGGATGCCAACTGCCGGGTAAAGCTCTGTGACTTTGGCCTCGCCCGCTCTCTGAGCCAGTGCCCCGAGGGGTCTGAGGGCCATGCCTTGACGGAGTATGTGGCCACTCGGTGGTATCGGGCCCCAGAAGTGCTGCTGTCTTCTCGCTGGTAATAGCCCGACATGCGTTCTCCCTCCCCCAGCCTCGGGCCCTCCCCGCGGGCTGTCCCATGCTCCACACCTTCCTCAGGTACACCTGTGGAGTGGACATGTGGAGTCTGGGCTGCATCCTGGGGGAGATGCTGCGAGGGACACCCCTGTTCCCAGGCTCATCCTCCCTCCACCAGCTGCAGCTGATCTTGGAGCACGTGCCGCTGCCCCCTGAGGAGGGTGAGTCATCCAGAGGGCCAGGTGGGGTCAGTGCATCTGGCAGCGGTGGGACTGGGTGGCGGATGAGTGGGATGATACAGGAGCCTGGGGGACTGAGGTGACAGGAGGAGGCTGGCGCTTTACTACCCTGAGTGGTGGCTGCAAGACCTCCTCCCTGGGGGTTAAGGGTGATCATAGGTGGGCTGTGTACACGTGTGGGTGCACGCATGCCCACTGGTCACACACCTTCTGCCTCCCCCACCCCTAGACATCCTGGCTCTGGGCTCAGGCTACAGCGCCTCAGTTCTGCAGCGCCTGGGAGGCCAGTGAGTCAGGATGCACTGAGGGGGTGCTGCAACAGCGAGGGCTTGTGGGGGGCTGCAAGGGTAGGCGGGGCAGGGAAGGTGGGGCTTGCAGCCAAGCCCACAGCCTCTGACATGTCTCAGATGGGTCCGAGGGATAAAGCCCTGGACAGGGAGTGACCACTGGGGCTGCCCACAGGCCACAGCAGATGCTGGACTCCCTTCTGCCACAGGACACCCCCCCGGAGGCCCTGGACCTCCTCCGGCGACTCCTGGTGTTCACACCGGACCAGCGGCTGAGTGCCGCCGAAGCCCTGCAGCACCCCTATGTGCGGAGGTGTGGACTGGGCGGGGTACCATCCTGGGGCCAGGTGGGCAGCCTGAGGAGCTGAGGCAGATCCCTGCCTCCCTAACCCCGCCATGGCTCCCATAGGTTCTACTGTCCCACCCACGAGTGGACACTAGAGGCAGACACGCGGCTTCCGCTTCCCGAAAGTGTGCAGCTCTCAGCTGCAGAATATCGCAGTCGCCTCTACCAGGTGCTGGCCAGCCACCTGTCACTCCCTGTCCACGGGGCCCTCGGCCCTCCCGACCTCAGAGACACCCTGGTTTCCCTATGCCCAATGCCAGCACCTCTGAGCGTCCCTCCCTCCTGCAGATGATCCTGGAGCGGAAAGGCCACAGGCAAGTCCAAGGGTCAGAGGGCTCAGGGGCCACGCCACCAGTAGCATGGCCCTGGGCATCCCAGCCACATCCTCAGGAGCCTGGAGCTGTCCTGCAGCCATCCCTGGGGGCACCTGTCCAGAAGGCCACAGCCTGGCCTGCTGACAACCCCCTGCACGGTCCATGCCCTCGACGCCCGCACAGTGTGGCCACTGCCCCTTTCAGGGCCCAGCCAGGCTCATCTTACTACCCCCCAGAAGACCTCGGCATGGCCCACAACGCTCCCAGACGCAGCTCTTCCAAGGCCGTGCCCAAGCCCCTGTTGGGCCCCTCGTGGGTGAGCGGGGGCTTGGGTGTCCCCTTCCCCATCACTCGCTGTCCCTTCTCAGGGGCCTGTCACCCTCATCCTGCAGTGAGTGAAACCGCCCTCCCCAGGTGAATCCCCACGTGACGTGGGCTGCGCCCTCCCTGACTGCACAGGCTGCAGCCGACGTGGTCAACAAGGTCCTGATCCGGAGGGAGGCCCGAGGTCGTGAGGTGGCGACGTCTGGCACTCGTCCATCCCTCACCACACAGGCCTCCCGAGGACCCCGATGCAGCCCAGCAGTCCCGCTTCCCCAGGACCCTGGGCTGGAGCCCCGGCCAGGGCGTAGAATGTTTTCCACCTCTGCCTTGCAAGGGGCCCAGGGAGCCGCCAGGGCCGCGCTTGGGGGCTTCACCCAGGCCTACGGGACTGTGTGCCACTCTGCACTGTGTCGTTTGCCCCTGCCCCCCAGACCAGGACCACATGCGTGAACCCACCCCAACGCCAGCACTGCTTTTGTGCCAGGCATCCCTCCCCGGTTCCTACACTCACCCCAATCCTTGCCATGCAGACCTAGGCCACCCGCCTTCCCTGTCCCCAGTCCCCCCTTCCCATATTCTCCACCCCACCTTTCCCCTCACCCCCTCCCTCTACCCACCTCCTCGTGAGAGTGTCTGGACCACCTCAGCCCGCCCTTCCTACAATAAAGTCAGGGCTGCCTCCACTGTTCCTACTCTGTCTGCAGCGAGGGCTCCCTTCAGCTTCACCTCCCGCCCCAAACACGCCTTCCCGGCTTAGCACACAAGGGGATGAGCGGGGTGGGGTGGGGGGCGCTCCACCTGTCACACAGCACCCAGAGAGGCTTCTTCCGAGGCTCTGTCACTGGCACATGACCAGCCCTAAGTCCCTCATCCCCAGCCGTCCCACCGGCTCCTGAGCAGAAACCCCAGCCCCGAGGGCCTAGCAACCCGGCATGGTCCTGAGGGGCAGGAAGCCAGGCAAAGAAGGGGTTGAAGTGGGGCAGCCCCTCCCCTGGGAGTGGCCCTGGACTCTGGTCATGGTCAGTGTCCAGCACAGTGACCCAGGGCTGGGGCCTGGGGGACCAAGGTTGGTCTCCAGACAACTGAGGGACTCAGAGCCCCCTCCTCTGGTCACCACCAGGCAAACATGTCTGGAGTGGGGGCCAGATGACAGGTGCTAGGGACCCAGAGCTGTCCTGGGGCTTGTAGGTACCCCACACTCACACTGGGCTGGGACCCGGGCAGGGTGGAGGCCTGCAGCACCCCTTTGTCCCTGGAGGCCCAGACAGGCACACTCCAGGGAGAATGCAGAGCTGGGCGAGAATGCAGAAGGGGTGGGACGTCTGAGTTGCTGTATCCAAGCTCCTGAGCCTGGGCACAGTCCTATGACAAGCAACCGTAACAAAGCCAAGGGTGGCACATCGTGGTCCAGAGGGAGCCTGCCAAGTGAGGAGGGTGGACACTGGACAGCTCAGCACAAGGGAGGCTCAGGAAAGAGCTGCTGGGCTTGGTGACAAGACCTGGGTGAGGCCAGTGCCTAGGGAAGGGGAGGAGGGCACGGGATCCCTGGGGGCTGAAAGATGCTGGCAGAGCTGGGGATCCACCAGGCTGAGACTAAATGTGGATGGGCTGGGGTGTGGTCTGCTCTGTTGTAAAGCCCCAGGCGTTTGTGCCAAGTCTGGTGGAGATGGCCAGCAAGCAGTTGTATGCAGTCTTAGCAGGGGGCTCTGGGCTTAGGCTGGCCACCACATCCGGGCTCTCTTCTGACCAGTCCCGTAGCAACAGCCTGAGCTACTGAGATCAGGTTCATTCAACTTGCTGACAGGACAGGAGGACATACTCTAACTCACTTCACCTGACCAAAAGTCCCTGCTGTCAGCTCAACCCTGGACTGTGGCTTCAGTGACCAGATGCTGCGTGGGGCCACCTTGAAGGACACTCCCTGAAGCCCTTCATCCCTTGAGCCTCTCCTGCTGGAGCCTCAGTCTCTTCAACAAAGTGACTTAAAAGAAGGTCCAAGAGGAGATAGCCACTCACTGCTGTGGGGTCAGTGACTCAGTGACCTGCCACTGGGTTCCAGGGTCGTCTTTATGGGAGGACACCAACCACCTGTCTCCGAGGATTAGTGGACTTGACTGCTGACTCCAGTGCTGTCACCTGTCCGAGGAGCCCTTGCAATGCCAGCAGTGATCACTGTCGACGGGGGACTGGACGTGCCCGGCCACCCAGGGTGTGGGAAAGGAAGGGCCAGGCCGGGACTTTTCCCACACAGAACATGTGCAAAGCCAGAGGTCACACAGCGTACACAGGAAGCTACCACAGGAAGCTGAGGGTTTGAAAGTGTGTAATTCTAATGTTATTTGGGTAAAAATACAGTACTCGTAAAAAATCCTGTCATGGAAACCACAGCAGTTTTGTCATGATGCACAGGGTCACCTGGGTCGGAGTCAGCAGGTGAGGAACTGAGGCACATTTGGCAGCGACTTCCCAAGTGTCCAGTATCAAAATGTGTTGCTTCAGATCATGTAAAACATATCCAGGAATGGAAAGGGGGCCATCTGGGAAGGTCCTGCACGCTGGTGACAAGTGGAGTTGTGTTGGCTCCAGCCGGGAACCAAGACATACCCTGTCCTCAGCCCTTCCTGCCCTTGTAGCCCATCTGGCTCCCACACCTGTGTGAGAAGTGTCCACACGGGCCTCTGGGGGCTCAGCTGGCTGGGGAGTCTCTGAACGAGCCTGTGGTGTGTGCTGGGAGGGACACTTCATGAGGCTGGCTGCAGATCTGTCCAGACCGGATTTTATTGTACTGCAAAAGCCTGGGGTGGTCACTCTTTGCCAAGTGCTGGGAGACTCACAGGGCAGCCCCTCTCCTGCTCATTGCTCAGAGGAATAGCCTTTGGGTCTGGACCCACCCCTTCCAAGAAACTGCTGCAGCCAGCACTTAATTCCGGGAGCACCAGGAGTCTGAGGAGTGAGAAAGCAAAAAGGCCAAGTCCAAGCACGGAAGGAGGAAGCCAGATCTGGATGGAGAGGCAGAGAGAGACAGAAGCATCAGGAGGTGGTGACGTGATGGGGGTGGGGACTCTTAAGAACGCAGAAACCCTGAGATGAGACCCTGAGAGTGAAGGACAAGAAGTTCCAAAAGATGGGCACAAAGAAGGCCCAGAAGCCCTAGGAGGTAAGGAGGTGGTGGGGGTGCAGCCCACCCAGATTGAGGGGCCCATGAGGGAGGTCTAGTAGAACCTGGAACCAAGGCGGCAGTTGGCTCCCACTGTTCAGGTGCCAGGGGCATGGGTCTCCAGGCCCGGGGGCATTCTGGGTGGCAGGGATTCCAGACCGGAGTTGGCTGGAGGGTGCACCTCACTTCTTGCCCTTGAATGTGCCCAAGATCTTGGGCATGAACTTGCCCACCTTGCTGTCCCTGGCGTCCTCCTCCGCTGGCCCTTCCCCGACACCCGGCCCGCTGGCCTCCTCCTTTTTGCAGAAGACCTCAAAGCGGCTGTACACGCGCTTCTCTTTGCGCATGCTCTCCATGCGCCGCAGCAGCCTGTCGCGCTCCTCCGCGCTTGCTGGCAGCGTGCGGCTCAGCCGGCCTTGTGCTCCGAGGCTGTCTGAGCGGAAGATGGCCGAACATTTGTCCTTGTCGGACATGTCAGGGGCCAGGCCTCCGGTAGCCGGTGGATGGCCGAGCTCGGGGTTGCTGTGAGCCGGGCTGGGGCCCGCCAGGGGCGCTCCGCGGTGTTTCTGGCCGTGAGCACTTATTTGCTCTAGGATGGCTTTGGTGTCGTCCCGCAGATTGCTGCTGTACAAGGCATTGGCCGTGGCTGAGGCCACGCGTGTTCCCCGGGGGACCCGTTCTTCCCCTGGGGTGGCCTCGGTGCTGTCGCCCCGGCCCAGCGACGGCCGCCGAGGACACTCGGGCTGCCCGTTCTCCTGCGGTGCCGTCAAGCTGCACTCCTCTAGCCGCCGTTCACTCTTAGGGCTCAGCAGCTGCCGGAGGCGCAGGGAGCCTTTGCGGAGACTCTCCATGGGGCTGCCCACCTGCTCCTCCGCGGGCCCGCCCTTCGGGGACTCTCCAGCCAAGGCAAGGGTGAGGCTGCCCCTGCGCTCAGGCACGGGGGGCACTGGGCTGCCCCTGCGTTCGGGCACGGGGGGCACCGGGCTGCCCTTGCGTTCGGGCACGGGGGGCACTGGGCTGCCCTTGCGCTCTGGGTAGGTGGATGTGGGGCTCTCCTTCTGTTCAGTAAATCCTGGTGTTGGGCTGCCTCTCCATGTGGGAAACCCAGGAGAGGGGCTCCCCTTGCGCTCAGGGTACACCGAAGTGGGGCTGCATTTCGCCTCAGAGATTGGCATCTGGTGTGTCTCAGACTCCTCCAGGGGCGGCGGCGGCGGGCTTTCCCGCCCTTGTGTGGAGGCTGCAAGGCCCTGGCATGAGAGGAAGCGGGAGGGCAGCCGATCGGCGCCACTGCGGCCCAGTGTGTCGAGCAGCTGCGTGGCTGTGAGTGTAGCGGCTCCCGGCTGCCGCTCAGCCTCCTGGTGCAGACGCTGGGCGAAGGAGTCACGCAGGTCCAGCAGGCAACTTTCGAGGCTGCGGCGCTCGACTCCCCCTCCGCCAGGCGCTACCACCTCCTCCTTCCACGACTGAGACACAGCTGCCTTGCTGTGGTTGGCAAGAGTCACGGCGCCACCACCCAGGTCACGGGACGGACCCTTGTACTTCTCCAGGAGCTCGGCCACCTTGGCGGAGGCAGTAGAGCGCACAGCCTCGCCGCCTGGACCCAACATCTCGCTGACTGTCTGTTCTTTATGCATCAGCTGCACTTTCTCGGTGGTGGCGGTTGTGGCACCTGTGCCTTCCGCCTGCGATGAGCTGAAGATCAGCGAGGAGCGAAGGCGCGAGGTACGTTGGATCTGCGGGTTCAGGCGAGAGCGGAACGAGTCCTGCTTGACCAAGCCCAGCTCCTCTGGGCCCTCGCGTTCTGAGCTGTCCCCACCGCCGGAGCCTGGGCCCAGACCCTTGGCGGGGAAGGCCGCAGAGCCACGGAAGGCAGAAGGGAGCAGGTCCCGCCCCCCAGAACCCAGCACGTCGTCTTCAAAGGCCTCGCTGTCCATCGGCGCGGGCAAGCCTTCTTCGCCCGTGTCCTCGCCGTGGGAACCGCTCAGGTAAGAGGCCAGGCGCCAGTGGCGCAGGCCGGCCCGCCCCTCAGGGCCACCCCTGCGCTCCATCTCCGTTTCTGGTGCGGCCTCAGGGCCAAGCCTGGCTGCCCCTTGGCACGGGAAGTGCTGGCCCAGGTTAGAGTGAAGAGCTCCAATGGGCTCAAGACCGCGGGGTGCGGGCCCAACGGCGGTGTCCGAGCCGTGGCGCACCTCACGGGGGGCGCTGGATGGCACGTAGTCTAGGTGTCCCTCAGGCCCAAGTTCAGGAAAGCGCGACCCTCCTCCCAGGGCGAAGTCCTTGGGCTCAGCGAAGCCGGGGCGGCCCGCGCGCAGCTTCTCGAACAGGCCCTGGGGGCGCGCAGGCGCGAGCTGCGGGTCCCACTGATAGTGCTGCTGGTACAGCTGGTCGCGGTGGAAGTGGCTGGTCTGGAAGCGGAAGTCGTCCCCGTGGCTAAGGAAGGTCTGCTGAGACACCTGCCGCGCAGCCGCGAAGTTCTCCATGGCGCCGCCATCGGCCGCATAGCTGTGCCGCTTATAGGCGTCCATCTCCAGGTGCCGCGCCTGGAAGAAGCCTCGAGGGCCCGCAGGCTCCCCAGCTGGCCCAGCCTCATCTAGCCGCCTGGACAGCGACCGCAGCCCCGCGTGTGGCTCTAGGGCACCCCCTGGGCCCCGCAGAGGCTCCTCCCGGCGGAAGGCGGACAGGAAGTGGCGGTCGGGGTCCAGGAAGGAAGGGAAGCCCAGACCCTCCTCCCTGGGTGGAAACAACAGGTGCGCCCGCTTAGGGAAGGAGAAAGGGGTCATCGCCCCGGGCCCAGGGCCAGCCATCAGTGGCCCGGCGCCTGTGTACGGCGTGAGGGCATAGGTGTCCATGCGGGGAAGTGCCCCGGCCGAGGGCACCAGCGGCTCTGACTGCGCGAACAGGATGCGGAACTCCTCATCGAAGCTGGAGACCAGCTCCCCCTGGAACACATGCGCCAGGCTGCGGTGGATCTTCTCAAATGACCACATGAAGCTAGAGGCGGAGGGGGAACAGTCAAGGGCCAGGGTCTCCCCCACCCCCCGGCGGGGGCGGAGCCTGCCCGGGGCGGAGCCTGCCCGGGGCGGAGCCTGCCCGGGGCGGAGCCTGCCCGGGGCGGAGCCTGCCCGGGGCGGAGCCTGCCCGGGGCGGAGCCCTGCGCACCTGTAGTTGCCGCTCATCACTACTGCGCAGTCTACCAGCAGGAACTTCTCCTTCACGTGGCCTTGGAAGGACTTGCCAGTGCGGCAGTAGTAGGTGGGGCCTGCCACGGTTCGCACACGCAGGAACTGGGAGAGGCAAGCGCGTCAGTTTCTGGCAGGGGTCATTCCTTCCACCCCCTCCATGGGATCACTCACATCCACATGGTGCAAGTTGATGCGGCACTTGTCTGCCATGTCCAGGAAGTGCTGCGCGTTCATCTCGTCCAGCAGGATGTAGACGGGGACCCTGCGCGCCGCAGCCTCCAACACTTCACCCAGCAGGTCCACATCAGTGAACATGTCCATGACCACCGCTACCACCTGCGAGGGTGAGCCACTGCCGGAGTACCAGCCTTCTGTCCCCACCTGATTCTCCAGCCCTACAGCCCCTCTGTCAGAGACCTTCCCCAGGGGAAGGGTCAGGGAGGTGAGGGGAGCCAGGATCCCTCGGGTTATACCGCAGACCCGTTATGGGGGTTCCTTAGAGCCTAAGACCCCTCCACAGAGGCAGAACTGCAGCACGATGACCACTGCCATGGATGCCCCATCTCAGCCTGTGCCTGGACCTACAGTGGCCTGACCCACCCGAACAGGCCCCAGCTCTCCCATGGCTGCAGTCCAGCACGGCCGCCCACCTGCTGGGCAGATCGGATCATCCTGCGAGCTTCATCCTTGATGCTGGGGCTGTCTGGCGGCGGGGGCTGCACCAACGTGGTGACCTCTGTTCCTTGGAAGCCGAAGGTCAGGGGCCAGCCCAGGTCGAGCTCTGGCACAGCTTGGTCTGAGTTCATGGGCCAGTAGGTGCCTGAGGATCCATCCATGTCCACATCGGGCAGGCTGCCCTCAGGGGGCTCTCGGGTGACATGCTGGGGGGGGCGCAGGTGACGGCTCACGTGTTCTAGCTCCTCAGGGCACAGGAAGGCAGGGGCCCCCTCAGCTGCCAGAAAGCGGCTATAGGCCTCCGGGCCTCCTTCGGCCAGGGCATCCACTGCCAGGCGGTAGTACTCTTTGTAGTGAGGGGGCAGGTACCCTGGGGCCAGTGGGTTGTCCCCCTGTGAGGAGCTCTGGGAGCGACGGGCCATGTTGGGGCCAGGGGCCTGTGGGGAGGAGACAAATTACCCAAGGCAGAACATGACCTGATGTGGCCTTTGGTGTTCTGCAGTCTGGGAGCCAAGCCCACCTCACAGGTCAGACACATATCTGTCCCCCTCAGGAAAGGGCTCAACTTTCTTCTCCATCCCCTCAACGGAGTTCATTTTGACTCCTGGACGTGCCACCTTTAGTGGGACTGACCACATTATCTTGGATGTGACGTTTTGTGGGAGGAGTCCCGGCGGCAGAGAGGATAGGTGACTGCCTTCTAACTGCAAGTTTCGTGGCTTGACTGCAATTGCCCCATATGACAGATGAGGCTACCTGCTTCCACAGCTGCGGAGCCTGGGAAACCTACGGGGGCTTTTCTGCTGCCCCACAGGGTAGCTTTAGGGTGGAAAGAAATCAGCGGCTGCAGGCTGGGAATGTTTATTTAAAGTGACCACCAGGCTTTTCTGCAAAGATACCAGGAAAGCATTTGAGTGGCCCTGATCACCTGGGCTGGCTTTGTTTTGTCAATTCCTATTTTGAAGGGAAAAAAACAAACAGAACCCATCCCAGAACGTAACAAGTTGTATTTTGTGTGTGAAGAGGAATACAGTTGAGGCATAATTAATTCTTCTACTCTTGATCTTAACACATGAAGACATTCTCACAGCCGATTTCCTACCCCCACCGGTGGGCCCGCCTCTGATCCAACACACTACCCAGGGTTGGCACGAGGTCATAATGGGTACAGGGTGCTCAGGAGACCATGCTTCTAATGCCACTGTCCTGCAGCCGCAGCTTGACCCGCCATGTGACAGAGCCATATCCCTGAAAGATGGGTCCCAGGGCTTCCCCAGCCCTTGCTTGGGAGGCAGGGCCTCTGATATCCCCAGGAATGCACTGGAAGGGTGGGGGACTAACCCCATCTTAGTGGGGCCTAAGACAAAATGCAGATAGGCGTGTAGGGAGACAGCAAGCCCAAGCCACCAGCAGCAGGAGGGACTTGGGAGGATCTTCAGCTGGAGGGGCTCAGCCCTGCAAACCCAGGTTCCACTTTCAGCCTCCAGCAACAGAAGACAAGAAATCTTTCCAACGAGACACTCACCCTTAGCCTCACACCTGCCTGTCCACACAGCTCACCGCATCACTGTCCTCAAGCCCAGATGCTGGTCCTCCCCACCTCTGACCTGCACCAACCACAGCCTCCTCACGCCCTACCCAACCTGCAGTTTTGTCCCCACCAGTCCAGGTCTTCAGGTCATGACTGTGTTCAGAAACACCGGGCCACCCGATACCTCTCTGGTAGCCAGTGGACCCACACCGTCAGCTGTGGGCACCTGAGTCCACAGGGCTTGGCACTTTGCCTCCTGCCTGGCCCACTCTGCTCCCTTGCAGCACCAGGCAGGCTCCCAGGTGCTATTCTGCTTGGCTCATGACTTTAGAGGTTGTAAGAGAGAAGCTACCCAAGAGTAGCCTGGTGGTCTGGGCACTGGATAGGGCTGAGCTACACAGGGTTGAAAGGAGACAATGCAGAACCTGTCCTGATTGATGCCCCCAGGGGAGAAGTGATTGTGGAGACAGGCAGTCCCAGCAGACCTGGCCTCAACAGTGGGGTCATGGTAAGAGTCAACTGCATCCAGATGACCACTGTCCTCATGAGAGGAGGCTGCCCTGCTGTACCAGAACCAGATGAAGTCCACATGGTCACAGTGCTGCGGCGTCTGTGCTGGGCTGCGGTGTCATCACCGTGGATAGAACTGTGCTCTCCTTGCCCAACTGTCAGTGTGTGGCTGCGTGGAGGTCAAGGGCCATGGCTGGTCAACCTGACTGAGGTCATGACTGTGGAGATGGGACACCAAAGGAGCTGCCCTTGGGCAGGGCAGGCCTGCCAGCGCGGGTGCCCAGAACTAGGCACATCTGACGGGCAGCCTTCTCACCAGACTTGACTTTAAGGAAGGAAGCACCCACTCTGCCTTCAGGACGGAAAGAATGTCCCCAGTGAAGCTGCCATTTCAAGTGCCAGCCCTTTGCTGGGTCTGCACCCCACTGGGCACCCAGGGCTCTGGCCGTGGCCCTCCCCCTCCCTGCACATCTGCCTATTTAACACCTGCGGGTAGAGGGGAGACAGGACCCAGATTGTCGCACCCAGCCCGTGACTCAGCAGGAATCCGCTCTTCTGCCGCTGACCTCTGACCCGGAGCCTGACAAAGCGGCCAAGGTCCCCTCCAAGATCCCAGGTGAACCTCACCTTCACCTTCGAGGACGGCTGTCGCCCTCTGGGGCAGGTTGGGGGGCGTTTAAGTAGCTGGGAGTGGAAGGACACTGCACAGAAGCCCGACAGGGGACCTCGGGCCCCAGGCTGGGACGCGGGAGACAGCGGGTGGGGCGCCCCGACCGGAAGTCTGGAGCGTTGCGGTTTGTGGGCGCTCAAGTGGGGCGCTGAGAGTTAGGGAAGCCTAGGAAGTCAGCAGCTGGCCATCGGGCCAAGACCCGGGTCTCGCTCTTGCCGGCGCCCAGCACGTCGCGGCCTGGGCGGGACGTCCAGGGGGGGGCAGGGCCCCGTCAGTCAGCACTACGCGCCCCGAACTCCGGTCTGGCCGCCGGGGCGGGTGCTCAGCCCGGGCAGCTCCTCGATGGCCA